TTCTCTAATGAATGAATACAGATCCAGACTTCTTCACCCCCACCATATACCGTCATCAACTGCCACCACTCCACCAGAACCAACCACGGCTTCTTTTTTAGTTCAGAGACCTTGACCGTGTGCGAAAGAATCTGGACGGCAAACCGCGGTCTCGTCACCCAAATCGGCCCCAAGGCTTGGGCGTCATACACTGATCAAGTGACGATGACTTCTGTTGACGAGATCGCAGAGGACAAGGGTGAAACAAAATGGATAGCTTGGAAGGAGAGAGTTCTGGATTCCATGGATGAAATAGCTACTTTCGTCGCTCACCGTCGCCAGGGTGGTGATCCCGAAAGGATTGTTCACTATTATCGGGGCTCCTTTAATATCTGCATTCATATTAAATTTAAAGATACTTGCCCTGATGCTGCAATCCGGTTTACTAAAGCTGGGGTCACAGCTTTCAGGGATGAAAAAGGTGGAGAGGTGCAAGTTATGAAATTGCGGACAGCCCTCAACAAAGACCATTTATTATTATGGAATACATCGAGGGAATACATTTGTCAGACATCTTGAAGAAGCCGACCGCGAACAGGGAAGAAAAGGAAATTCTGAACCCTGATGTCGATGACACCACAATTGAACATTGTGTACCGTCAGGTAGCCGATTTCATGCTTCAACTTTACAACCTCGATTTCACTCACATCAGAGCTATATCGGAAGTCGTTGAAGGTGCAAATACATGGGCCGTCACTGGAAGGCCCTTGACATATAATAAGAATGAACTGGCCACATCCACGGGCTATCCAATTATCCGATTCCCTACGGAGTGCTTTTCATCTGCGAATGAATGCTTCAAGAGTCTTGCAGACCAACACTTGATCCACCTCCACACCCAGCACAACCTCACCACTGATCCTAAGGATGCTAGGAGGTGGTATATTGTGCGCCATCTTTTTCAGCAGCTAGTGGCAAGAAACTGTATCAATGAAAACGGTCCCTTCAAGCTTTTTTGCGATGATCTCTGACCTTCTAACATTTTGGTGAACAGTGAAACGCTCCAGATCACTGCAGTCCTTGACCTGGAGTTTACTAACACTATGCTCGCACAGTTCGCTTATGATCTACCCTGGTGGCTATTGTTGGTAGGCCCTGATATGTGGCTGAAGCGAGGCTACACCATGGCAGATTTTGTGGCTCAGTATACACCTAGATTGAAACAGTCTCTATACGCCCTTGAGCAGATAGAAGCTGAGAAGTGTAGGAAAAAGTCCAATGTGCAGCGCATTTCCAAGTTAATGCGCAACTCTTGGACGAGCGGAGAGTTATGGTTCAATTTCACAGATAGAAAGAGCTTGGATGTGGATGCCATCTTCTATCACCAGTTAGACATGATTTATTTGGGGGTAAACCTAATGTCAACTTGCTTGACGACAAGGTATGAGGAGGCTTATAGTCATTTGTACGGATGAAGATGGAGCAGAAGGCGGCTTCTGAGGAGGAATGTGCATTGCTGTAAAGCTATAGTGAATCATTTGGCATGAAATGATCAGCAACACTATGAGATCTCTCCGCATTCTCGATAAGTCGTACACTTGATCGCCAACATGTGGGTAGCGGAGAGGCGATCAGACTAACCATCAGACTAACCTAGGACTCTTAGAATTTATGGTCCGTAGCAACCAATACTTGAGTACTAACTTGAAGCCTATTTTTAGGTGATGGCACCACCACCTCCTGGTCGGCGCTCTTTAGAGTCTCTCCCTGCCTTGTCCATCATTTCTCGGCTGGCCTGTTGATTTTCTCTCTCTCTTCCTCCTCTATTTGCGCTCCTTCGACTCTCTCGCGGCTGCTCGAGTACCTCTTCATCCTTAAGCCTTGGGAGCTTATAGGACTCGTTATTTCTACCTCCTCTGGCGCCGCTCGTGGTGCTCATACTTTTTGAGTTGATCTTGCGCCAATAAGAGGGCTGTTTGTTGAAGGTTCTGGCTGGATGAGGCAGACGTTTAGATCAGGCGGTACAATAAACCAAATTTGCGTCGATTGGGGGTGTTTTCGTTTCAATATGGAGGCGGGATTTTATCAGAGATGAAGTACAAAGGTTGCTCAACTTGGAGGCCCGCAAAACCGGATATCCCGATTATGCCAATGTGTCCTCTTCGTGTTCCTCTTCAGGTTCTCACCTGTTATTGTGTGTTTTGGTGGCCCGGATCATCTTTCTCCCTGAACGCCTGCTTCTTTGGAGGTTTGAAGAGCATGATTGGATCTGATGCTTGCTATAAATGCGACTCACTCTTACAGAGTGGCACCTCTTCGACGGCATTCTGCATCTGACAGCGTTCACGTTGCTTCAAATGAACCTCCCTCCGAAGCGCAAGTGTTTATTTTCTGGATCGATAATGCTTTTTTTTTTAAAAAAGTGTATGGAAATACGCGGCGCTAGGCAATTAGGCAAAGACGACATTCACTCCGCACCGTCCCATTTACGAATAAGTTGAGGACAACCACACTGACCAACTATATCGGTGAGGGGTGTGTTAGTGAACGGGACGGCCCGCAAGGCACCACACAGAATAACAGACCCGGCATTGGTGGTCTACTGGAGTGGAATCCTAGAAGGGCAACTTGGATAGCATTGCGTGAACGAACTGGACCAGTCATAAAATGTTCAAAATCATGTAGGATTTCGCAGTAGTTCAAGCTACGAACCCCGTCGTCGCCATGCCTGGCGTCAAACCAAAAGGGCGATTGGAAAAGTGTAACCTTGGGCATGACATGGAGTCCTGGGGGTTTCCTGGATCGGATCATCTTTGGGTGCCAAACCAACTACATGAAGAGTCCCATTCACTCTTTGTAGCTTCTTTGTATAGTTAACTATGGCTAGCTTTCGCGGAACAGGTTCCCATATTGTTATCCTTACTAGATTTCTGACATTTGAAACTTGTACCAAAAGTTCTAACAAATGAGCTTTTCGCTCAATTTTACAGCATCCCCATGGCAATGCATTGTTGTTTTCATGGCTTTCGAAAGGCAGGTAGCTGATACCATTGCAATTCGACTTAGAAACCATTGCATAATGGTTACACGAGTCCTTGCATCCCGCGTCCGGTCAACCGTTAACAGTAGGTGTCTCCCCCTCTGGACCCTTCCATCTCCAACTTCCCCGGCATCAACTTTTACTCAAACTGGACCCTTGTTTCTTTCGTCCTTTTAGATATCTAACGGTCTTTTTGCTACTATCGATCTAAAAATGGAGACACCAGAGCCGCATACGGTTTCTCTCCCCAATGTCCCAGAGAAGCAGCCCCCCGCTGAACCCCGCAAAATTGTTGTGGAGTGGGTAGACAAATTCCGCGCATCACTGGCTCAGGCAAATGTGTCCGATTTACAAAAGCTCTTTCTCACAGATGCATGGCTGCGCGATATGGTTGTTCTCTCGTGGGACCTTCGCACCATCAACGGTGCTTACAAGGTAGCTGCGTACTTCCAAGAGAATCTGGGGAGAGCAAAGTTCGAAAAATTTCACCCTAGGGAATCTGGGCAGTTCGAACCGCAGTTTAAAACAGTTAAACCGGGATTACAATGGATTGAGACTATGTTCGATTTTGAAACTGAGACGGGAAAAGGTCCTGGGATGCTTTGGCTTGTCCGCGATAGCGATGATATTTGGAAGGCGTATATGCTCGGTTTCGTCCTGCAGGTGGTAAAGGGATATGAAGAAATATCTGGCCTCAATCGCCCTAATAAAGGATCAGATGCCATCGTGGATAATCCTCGTCAGGAGAAGAGTTTCACTGATATTGAACCCACCGTTCTTGTCATTGGAGCAGGTATGTTTTATTTTCCCATCTTGACCACGCCCACGATTGCGTGATACGCATGTTAACTCAATGCCCGTGTAGGACAGGCTGGGCTTATGATCGGTGCGAGGCTGGGTAAACTAGGTATCCCGACCCTGATCATTGAGCGAAACTCCAGGGTCGGTGATAACTGGCGCAAGCGATACAGGGTATACGGATCTTAGATCCCAAGTATTGAAATGACCATATCTTGCTAAATATGCATGCACATATAGACTTTGGTCACCCACGACCCGGTTCAATATTCTCAAATGCCATATCTTCCATTTCCATCCGGTTGGCCCCTCTATACGCCCAAAGACAAGCTAGCAGATTGGCTAGAAACATATGCCAGAGGGATGGAGCTCAATGTATGGACCAACACGGAGATTGAAAAAAGCGAGTACGATGAAAAGTCAAAGACGTGGTCGGTAAAAGTGCGTTCGAATGATTGTGTTATTCGTACCGTATATCCACATCACATCGTCCTAGCCACCGGCCATTCGGGAGAACCACTAAGGCCCAATTTCCCCGGCAAAGAGAAGTTCAAGGGTGAAATATATCATAGCTCGCAATATAATGATGCCTCCGAGCACGCGGGCATTAAGAGTAAGAAAGTTGTCGTCGTTGGTACTGGGAACAGCGGGCACGACATTGCGCAAGACTTCTACGAGAACGGCGCAGAGGTAGCTATGCTCCAGCGCCGCGGGACCTTCGTGATCTCGCAGAAGCATGGGGTAAGCGCGCTTGTGGCCGGTATGTACGACGAATCAGGCCCACCCACAGACGAAGCCGACACCTATGTACAAAGCATGCCTATACCTGTACAGTTCGCCTTACACGTCTCTGTCGTGAAAACGCTTCGCGAGGGTGCGGATAAGGCGACGCTTGAGGGTCTAACGAGGGCTGGCTTTAAGCTTGATGCTTGTCGTGATGGTGCTGGGATTTCAAGAAATATTTTACTCGTGGAGGCGGGTATTATATCGATGTCGGATGCAGCAAATTGATTGTCGACGGTAAAATAAAGGTTAAACAGAGTGATGAGGGAATTGAACAGTTTGACTCTGATGGCCTGGTGCTCGCCGACGGAAAGAGAACAAAGCTTGCTGCTGATATCGTGGTGCTGGCCACAGGGTATGATAACATGAAGAGCACCGCAAGAAAAATTATGGGAGATAAGGTTGCTGACAAGCTTTATTCCTCGTGGGGTTTGGATGAAGAAGGGGAACTCAATGCAGTATGAATCAGTTTTTTCTGTTCACCAACTTCCCACATTTCCCACAACCTTTCTTCCTAGGTTTCCGTGGCTTCCCCCGTTTACATATCCATTATGCGCCATTTCAGGATGCTGATTCACCTATGATGCTATAGATGTGGCGCTACAGTGGCCATCCTAATTTCTGGTATATGGGTGGGAATCTAGCTCTGTGCCGCTTTTTTTCTCGGCTACTGGCCTTGCAAATTCTCGGGGTGGAGGAAGGTTTATATGTCCCCCCGCAGGAGAAACAGTAAATGCCGCACATTTTTCAGAGACAAGTCACATATTCTCTGAACTCATGATTGGGGAAGAACCTAGCATGATATTAACAGGATTATCAGAGCAAGATTTCTAGGAATGGGAAAGCCCTAAGGATACTAGTATGATAAATGCCTGACAGAAATTGGTCGGGAAACTAAGGCTTGATACTAGTTGTGAAAAGCAAAGGAATAAAGAAAAGAATTGGAAATAATGATTGCAAAACATTGTAGAAGCCAGCACAATGCGTCTCCATAGTAATGCGGGAGTTTCGGTAGTTTCGAGCAAATCCCTGAGGAGGAATCTTGGCAATGTCTCGATCGGGAAATTCTAGACCTCATCCATAGATCTTCCTTGTCCGTTCCGCCCGATCCAGAATCATAGAGTCCCGGCCCTATAATCTCTCTATCTACGAAACAGGGACGTAATCAAACGGGCGCGGAAAGAGCGTGAATGATCAGGGTCCGAATAACTTGTTATCTAAGCGTTTTATAGAAAGAAGGGTACTTGCGCAAAACTACTATCTCAGTACTTTACCATCTCGGTCAGCGGTCCGCCAAGCATAGATCAAGTCCTGCCCTCCTAAAAATACAATCATTAGAATGATTAACTATATACACATCTTCAGTATAAATTATACATCAAATAAGAAATTCAAATAAACTATATACAGATACGTCTAAATCAACCATCAATATGTATAAACCAAACCGAGTACCTGCCTCTTCCCCCCGATACACCTTACCCCTAAAGCCTCGCCTTCAAGTGCCCCAAAACCATCTTCAACCGTTTCACCGCTGGCCCATCCTCCCCCGTCCCAGCAACCCCGCCATCCTCCCAACGTTCCCTGTGTTCCACAACTTCCTTCTTCGCAGCTTCCACATACGGTTTCAGGAAACCCCACACCGTATCCTGGTACGTCCCATCAACCTCCAACCACTCTGCTATGCCGGGTATTGTTGTCCAGTCCCATTCCCCGCCCTGGCCATGTTGGTGTGGTTCTCGTGACTCTTGTTGGATGGCGGAGAGAATGGAGTTGATGTCTGGGATGAGGCTGAGTTGGTTTGGCGGGAATGTGTGAATTTTTGTTGTTTCTGTTGAGAAAGAGGGGGCGGATGCAGAAGAGGATGGTGGCGGTGGCTGTAGCATGGAAGCGTCTAGCTCGAAGAGTCCGCTTTGCGGGGATTCAGGGGTTGTGAATGTTGCTGGTTGGAACGTTGGAGAGGTGAGGAGGGCGATGACGTCTTGGCCGTCTGTGGAGTGAGGGGTGTATGAGGCCCCGTGGTATGTGCCGATGTTGGGGTCGTTTGGTTGATTTTGACTATGACTGTGATTGCGGGTGGTGTTTCCGGCGGGAGAGGAGTTGTGCCAAGCAGAGTCGAAGTCGTCATTGGGCAGGTATTGCTGAGGGTTGGAGGAGGTGGAAGGATCGAGGAGATCTTCCATCTCCCCTGCTCTTAGTTTTCCTTTTCCCTTCGTGCTGATTGCATCGTAGGGGTCTAGAAAGAGAGTGTCATTGCCCATTGTCGTGGCCAGCAATGTTATTCTGCGTAGGATCCTGGAACCGTTCCCAAGCTCTTTGATCATCTTCATCAATTAGGCTCCTTGTCGCCGGGAGAGGAGCGGAGCGCAATGACCCAGAAGGGAACCTCTGGGCTCCGCCTGCACGGCTTGATGGCTGACCTAGGCTTAACCCATGCGAATGGAGAGTATTCTCAGACGCTGAAGCACCAGCGTGGAGCAGCGCATGAGCGTTGGAAGAGGGTGAGCTTCCTTTGCTGGACAAGCCTAGTCCTTCAGTAAGGGTTGAGGATATGTCGCCTGCTAGAGAGCGGGAGGGAGACCCTGAAAAGGTGTTTCGTAGCAATCCTAATGCGGAATGTTGGATTCTACTTGCAATTGAGGGTTTTAACGGAGGGGGTTCCGAGGTGGCAGAGGTGGAGGAGGGTGGCGGTATCTGTTCCTCGTTTCGCAAACCCCGCTGTAACTGTTGGTGAGGGGGAGATGAAGGAGGATTATTACCCATTTGTTTGGTGTTCAAATCTCAAATTCCCTTCCCGGGGGTATATATAACTTTTATACGTATAATCAAGGCCTCGGGAATTGATGAAGAGAGTCAAACTCACGTTGTCAACGGATATCATAGACTTCATTTCTGTTCCATTAATAAATCCATAGTGATATCTTTTTGGTTATATGGTGGGTTGACAGTTGAGAAGAATGAAGTCGGTGTTGATAACATGTGAAAGAGTAAAAAGAATTCGGCTGGGAGCGAAAAATAGCTATTTCTCAAGGTAAAAAACTACCTAGGCACTGAAGGTGATGGTAATATTAAGCAACCAACAGAAGGACCACCATATTCGAGACCACACTGAGCTAGGCGAGGACTGGAGTAAATCAAGAAAAGATACACTCAACCTAATGCGCGATAAGAGTAACTAACGACAAAGCAGCCTGGTCTGTTGGCGAAGTGGGATAAGAGGTATTTCCGTGTACCTCCCCCCACCAAAACCGCCCCCCGGTACCTGTGACGACAAACCGCGCACCATCTTCATATTCCGGTTTGTTGAGCCTCTTTGCCTTTCCAGAGTGTGACCTGTCCATCTTCCTCTTCCTCTGTTGCTTCTCCTCTCTGTTCAACTCTGCTTTCGTCTCCCTATCCTGTTCCAACGGCCATAGACCATTTCTTTTTCATTTTCTCTCAGTCTGCGATTGCTTTAGCTTCCTGTTCCTCCCCTCTTCTCCCACTCTTCTCTCTTGGCTCAGTCGTCTTACGTTAGTTACCTCTCCCAGGCCACCCATTTCTCTTGACCATTTGCTTCGTTTTAGTCTCCGGTAAGTAATTACCTTAAAGAAACTGCTTACCACTCCTCCCCTCCTTATTTAAATGCACCGTGTTTGATTCTGAGACCTTGCCCGCTGGACAGGCGAGTTGGCTGCTGATTGAGTGTTGTGGTCTTTCTCTTTTGCCTTTGGTTGCTCGCCCGCTCGCATTGCCAGAATTCCTCCCACGTCAACAACCAACCAGCCCACATCGTCATAACTAACCAGACGCCACAACCAAACAGTTCTCTTCTATAGACCGTTATCTTCTCTTCCTCTTCTTCAACTCCTATTCTTCCATCTCCTTTCGATAACCTAATTGTAATCATCCGCGTGTTTACGTTCCGTGTGTCCATTTTCCCCCGCCATTTCACGCCAGCTCTCCAACCTCCCCGGCCTTGCTCGTGCAAGCCCTGTGATATTGATTATCTCAACACACATAACCCCGCAGATTAGAAAGCAGGAAAGCAATCACCCAGGCCTCACCACCTGCTAGATATTTTGTTTTGTCTGTGCACAGCCCATAACAGAGGGTTGATCGTTCTTAAAAAATGGTAGACGGAGATCCAGGTTCACCTACCTGGAAGTTCACACAGTAAGCGCTCCACTACTTTTCCACATCATCCAATGCGACTAGAAAATACGTACAACACCCTAGGCAGATTCCCGCGGGTTCCATTCGCCTGAGCCCCCAGCGGAATTTTGTTGATAGTTGCGGTCTTTAGGAGCACTGGTGGGGATTTTTGTAATACTTGTGGAACACCTTTCTAACAGCTTCAATCTAGATGCTTTGGCGATAAAGGGGATGTGGAAGACATTACAGATGGTTTGATCCCTCCATTTTACTTATATTATTCCGCTTTTCCCCCCACCCTCGCACTTTTCCGGCCTTTTTGGCTGAAGATACTTTGGCGACCTCTCAACTTTCGCAACGGATAGCGCTGATGCATCTCGTTTTCCTACAGCTGATATCATATCAACGGTTGAGTTCGATCACACGGGAAACTACCTTGCAACAGGTGACAAAGGAGGACGAGTAGTATTATTTGAGAGAAACGAGACGGTATCCTATTGCTCTTAAACATTCCCACTCGGTCACTCAATGAGCGTAAGACAGAAACGCTGACTTGTCCCGAGTAGAAAAAAACATGCGAATATAAATTCCATACCGAATTCCAATCTCACGAGCCGGAATTTGATTACCTAAAATCCTTAGAGATTGAAGAGAAAATCAACAAAATAAAATGGTGCAGACGACAAAATGCATCCCATTATCTCCTTTCGACCAACGATAAGACCATAAAGCTTTGGAAAGTGTTTGACAAGTCGTTAAAGGTCGTTGCGGAAAATAACCTCTCTCATGATCTCACCCCGGCAGGCGCTGTAGCTGGTGGAGGCATGCCACGCGCCCCGCAAATTTCCTTCCGTGACGCATCCTCGCTCAAATTGCCTCGCCTCACCCATCATGACACTGTAGTTGTTGCAGTTCCTCGACGTATCTATGCTAATGCCCATGCTTACCACATCAATAGCATATCGGTCAACAGTGATGGCGAAACATTCATCAGCAGTGACGATCTTCGAATCAACCTATGGAACTTAAATATCCAAGATCAGAGCTTCAATATTGTTGATATTAAGCCCGCAAATATGGAAGAACTGACGGAAGTTATTACAGCTGCGGAATTCCATCCTACTAGTTGTAATTGGTTCATGTATGCTAGTTCTAAGGGAACTATCAAACTCGCAGATATGAGGCAGAGTGCTCTCTGTGATCAGCATCACAAACGTACGTTTTTGAGTCCATCATCCCTCGCGTCAATGACCTTTTGACTCCATATCACTCTCCATCTCTGCTAACCTCAAATTTCTCCTTGAATAGAATTCGAGCAAGAAGAGGATGCTTCTTCCCGTTCTTTCTTTTCCGAAATCATTTCCTCCATTTCTGACGTCCGTTTCTCGAATGACGGGCGCTATATACTATCTCGCGACTACCTAACGGTCAAAATATGGGATGTCAACATGGAAAGACAGCCTTTAAAAATGATCCCGATCCACGAGCACCTCCGCCCCCGGCTTTGCGATACGTATGAAAACGACAGCATCTTTGATAAATTCGAGGTGGTATTTTCTGGCGATGCGGAGAATGTCATGACTGGCAGTTACAACAATAATTTTATGATCTACCCCTCCGACACTAAACAAGGAGACCGAAGTTGTCCTCCAGGCCGACAAGACTGCATTCAAAGCAAAGAAAGTTGGCGTACCGACTCCCATAAATTCTTCCGCGTCAACCAATAAAAAGGGGGGATCGAGGGCTGGTAGTCCTGCAGGTGCTGGTGGAAGGATGAAGAAAGAAACAGACGCAGATCAAATCGATTTCAACAAAAAAATTCTGCATATGAGTTGGCATCCTTTCGAAGATAGCATTGCAATCGCGGCCACTAACAATGTAAGCTTTGAGTCTTCTTATCCTTGCGTTATTTTGTCTGCCCTATCAACTCATTTTACGTTGTTATCTTTCTTGCTTTGCCTTCTCAAGTTTTGGTCGCTCAAACTCTAACATATATTTGTTTTCTATAGCTATTCGTGTTCTCAGCCCTGTGAATCGACACAGAAGGACGAGGAAGGAAAGACGAAAAAGTGAAAAATAAAATAAAAATGAAACAATGCTGGTTGCATCGCCTCACCTTGTTCTTGCCCTTGATTATAATATCCCAGTCCTACACGACACTATTCACCCATCTACCTATTGCATACAATTACTTCTACTACCTCCAGCAAAAATCCACCTCGCCCAGTTTAATTTGTGTTATCAGGGCTTAGCAGCAGGTCTTCCGCCAGCAAATACAATTTATTTCCCTCTTTACCTTGACCCCATTTCGCTCTCCCTTTCCCTCTCCATCTCACTCTGTCGACTCTCTTTATGCTGTTTTGGTCCTCGCGTCTTGAACCCGCGTAGTTTTTACCTCTTGTTTAATTTGCAAGGAGGGGAATGAACAAAAAGGAAGGAAAAATCATTCATAAATTAGGTACTGAAATTTCTCTCTCACTGCCACACACATGATTTGCTTTTGGTGCAAGGGAACAAAAACGGAAGGATAATGTATAAAGGAATAAAGCTAGTTGATGTGATACGTACAGATGATATGTGGTGTAGAGAGGTTCTTAAAGTTCTTACACAAGTTTCACACCCTATTTTCGCCTTCTTCCTCCCTGCCACACACCACTCAATCCTGTTGATGATGAGAAAATCTGGAAGATTGATATGAATAACTTCGTCCTCCTCCCCTCCTTTTTTACTCTTTCCTTGTTAGTTTTAGCATTTTGTTGATATGAGGCGAGCAGGTAGGATAATAAAATGCGTTTCACCGTCCTGCCTGCTTCTCCTCCCTCCCTCCCTCCCCCCCCCTCCCCCCCCCGTAACCCAAAACCCGGAACCAACTAAGGAAAAGAAAACAAGACCATAAAGATGAATGAAATAAGCAGTGGAAAAGGACATCCGTGCACGGGGATAAAGGAGAAATTTATGTAGCAAGAAGCGGATAAGAGATGGCAGATTTTGAAGTGGAGGAACAAAGTTATATATATATGCGTAGTTGGTAGTTACAAGCCCCTTTACACATGGGTGATGGAAGTTTCAACACAATATCGCTGAGTTGGGAAGCAGGAAAGGCGTTAAGCTGGAGAATGAAAAGTATTCATCAAATACACAAGTCTGTAGCATTCTCGATGACGAGGGGAGGGGAGTAGGTACATTAACGTTGGAACTTGCGGATTCTTTGGATAACAGGGATGGCTATTGACGAGTTGGGCTCCGATTTTCTTTTGCGCATTTTCCACTCTTTTATTTTGTTTCTTATTCTTTCTTTTCCCTCCCTCTTTTCACTGAATTACAAGGATCCAAAGAATGAAAGAAAGGGTAGGGTTTGTGTTTGTTGGTTTACTTTGTTGTTTCCTTTGCTTGGAAATGATGCAATGGAAGGTTTCTTATCCCCTCCATATCAATTGTTTGGTTACTTTATAATTTTCTTGATGGTCATTTTTTCTAAGATCTCTTTGGAGATTGTCAGCTTCTTTTTCTCCTTTCCTTTTGCTCCTTGGTTTACTCCATCCCCCAAAATTTTCCATCGTATGCTCTTTCCTACAACAGTCGCAAGTTTAAGTCCAAGGGGCCGGCAGGCGCGGAAGGAATATAGAAATAAATACCCAATAGCGAGTTTTTCTGGTTTCTTTTTCTTTCTTCTTTCGACATCGATTTCCATTTCGTTTTCGGGTTCGAAGGAATATGGGCAGACAGCCACGCCAGGTGAAACTTGTACACATGCCTTGGAGTACTGGTGGGATGGAATGGACGTAGGATTTCCGTGTGCTTCATAACACGTTTTGCTATTATTCGTTTAAACTTTCGTGATTTCATCTCACATAAGCTTGGAACAGTCTTTTTCTATCTCCGGTGTTGTAGCCGGGTAGGGTATGATGGTAACTATGTATTGAGACAGTAAAGCATTGCTGTGGTGTATCAGACACTCTTATCACTTGATCTTCCTAACGTACCATTTGCGTAGCGGCAAAGTCCTGGATTTTCAAGCGTTAGATTCTTTTAGATGTTCAGTTGAAAAGGGATAGAACGTACTGAACGGTGAAAAATATAGCGATGCAATAAAAAAGAAAAGGGTAATAAATTATTGAACATACCGGAAACTCATCTATAATAGCAGCAGCTACGCTTTCAACTTCCTCAGCCAAGTTTTGAACGCCAGCATCCCAGGTTCTTAAACTTCGTCCTGCCGCCTCTGCTGTGGGGCCAACACCAGGGATTCCCGAGTCGAAGTAAATCACGCCTTTAATCTGATCAATTGTACCTTTTAATCTCCCTTGCTCAAGCATGCGCGCGGCATATGCCTCTGCTCTCTCCCCGGCGCTCAAATCACCACTGGGCTCAAGTCCAAGAATGTTGCCCAATTCCTCCACGTGGATATTCTCATACAAACGACTAGCCGCGAGGAGATTATGTTCGATTACAGCTCGACCAAGCACTGTGGATCCGTCTGCGGTTACAGCTAGTTGGTGAGGGACTAGCTTCTCAGCGAATGCCTTCACCTCTCCAGCGGTGAGTAGCCTATCCATGAATATCTTCTCCAATATATTGTATACGTCGAGAGACGATGATCGGTCGTCCTTGTATAGACGGGACAAAGTACGGGAACGCTGGGGGCCAGCGGGTCCGAGAACGGCACATATAATGGCAGCGGAAAGAGCCTGGAGACGATCTCCTTCCTCGATATCCCCAGATAAACTCAAATTGAGATACTGCTGGCTTGCATCGAGGAATCGGCGGTTAAAATCTGAAATGCGGGCCTGGGAGAGTTGGAAGTGAAGTTTCAACTCAGGGTCTTGAATCTTGGTGGGCATGTTCTTGACTCTGTTCAAGAAACTCTCTGCATTTGCGGTATCGTCTTCTTCTAAATATAGCCGTACGATACGAATCCATATGCGTACCTTCGCGTCGTCAGACATGAGATGTTGGGAACTATCGAAACGGATCGCCTGTAAGACTTTAGCTGCCTGTGTAAAATTCTCCTCCGCCTCGTACGCGTCTGCAAGAATTTCCCTCAGAACTGTATCCTGTGCCTCAGCAGAGGTCGAGTGGGATTGTATCTCGGATAGCGCATCTTTTCCAATCGCAATTATGATCGGAGCTGGTAGATTTCGGAGAGAGTTGATGAAGTTATCGAGGAGGGGTCTAGCGGCGACGATTCCGACGGTTTCGCCAAGGATGGAGTTTAGGAATGCATTAAGGTTGGATTTAATGTTTGGGGATGATGGGGATGATATTATCTTGGATAGGAGCTCATTGTATAGCTGCGGCTTGCTCTGTTGGTTTGTTGTTGATTCGATAGAAGCTAAGGATGAGGTGATATTAGGATCCGCCATTGCGGGTATGGTAGCGAGTGAGTCTCGTGGGCCAACGCTGGAAATGACGGCCCTTCTATACTTTAGTTACGAGGAAGAACGGAGGTATTGCGGCAAGAAGAGGAAGCTAAATGAAGGGAATATTGTTAGATATTCCGATCTATCTCGCTCCAACTTACAACCCTAAGACTTCATTTGGCTTAGTCAGCAGTCCCAGCATATGGATTGCATCGGCATCTAAAGGGATGGGAATAAATTTTATAGATATAGAATAGATCGGGCTCAGCCATAATATTCAAGCTGGTTATGATAAATACTAGGAAATCACTAGACATGTATTGTACAATAGTTGAGACTCCATACTCTCAGCATCCACCGGCATTATGAGATATGATACGAGTCGGAATGTTGAATGATAATAAAGCTATCTCACTATCTGGGCGTCAAGTGGAAGACCAGCTTCCAGATTAATGTTCAATATTGTTTTCAATAGACCCTAAACACCCCTTAACGAACAGATGGATCTTATTCCCCAAACAATTTGCCCAAGAGAAAGCTCTTCTAATGAGATGTGCGTAGTGTAATTTCCTAGTAAAGTCAGGTTAATGAAATAGATTGAATTGCTTATTCTAACTT